TGCTCGTGATCCTGTTCAATGAACCCCTCTAGTTGAGCCATATAGATACTCTCTTCAAGATTCCGTTTAGAAAGGCTGTCTTAACATCTATTTGTCAAATTTCATAATCATAAAATGTGGCAATAGACAAGAGTATTCTAATCGATTTAAGCATAGCAACATGAGAGAAGGTTTCTTCATAGTCCACCCCCTCTCTTTGGGTATAACCCTTTGCTACTAGTTGAGCTTTAAAGGTCTGTACCTTACCGGTTTGATCTCGTTTCCTCTTATAGATCCATTTGCAACCAATAGGTTTCACCCCATCTGGTTGATCTGCAAGTTTCAAAACTGAATTGAAGTACATTGACTCCATTTCAAGATTCATGACTTTAATCCACTGATCTCTATCTTTATCATTCATTGCTTGTTTATAGGTTAATGGATCCTCAATGTCATCATCAGGTATGATGACTTGAGTTTCTGTCAAACCCAAGTAACGATCGGGTTGAGTTATAACCCTCCCACTACGTCAAGGCATTCTCAACTCTTGAGAAGGATGTGATTGACCAGAAGTGTCAGCTTCATCAACAACTCTTGTTGAAGGACCAGCTTGATCAACAACTCTTGTTGAAGGACCAGCTTGATCAACAACTCTTGTTGTTTTATCAGTAGCTTCTTTAGAAATCTCACTTAATACTAGTTTGTTGCGAGGTTGATGATTTCTTACATGGTCTTCCTCTAAGAATGTAGCAATTGTTGATACAAACACTCTATTTTCTTGAAGGTCATAAAACAAACCACCTTTTGTCTCTTTGGGGTATCTTACGAATAGACATAATTTTGAACGACGTTCTAATTTCTTGGGGTTTTGCAACAACGCATGTGTTGGACATCCTCAAATTCTGAAGTGACGTAAACTACCTTTATGCCCCACCATGCATGTTCTGCCAACACACCACCTTCAAAACATGGGGCTGGCCCAAGGATGGCCCAATGGCGTCACCACAACGTCACACGCTCAACGAGGTTCATGTTGGACGCCCGAAGGCACCCAACTCCACCCCACCTTGCATGCTTTGTCGTCATACCAACCATCAACCATCCTCAAGTCAGCCCAAGTTAGAAGGCCACATTCCATGCTCAACAAGTCTCATGTCGCACGCCCAAAGTCATTTGACACCGCCCCACCAAGCATGTTCTGCCACCACACAGCCTTCAAAACATAGGGCTAGCCCAAGGAAGGGAGGCATACCACAACAACGTCCCACACTCAACGAGGATCATGCCGCACGCCCGAAGGCACCCAGCTCCACCCCACTTTGCATGTTTCATCATCGTACCAGCAGCCATCCACAGTCCAAACACCTGAGATTCCCAGTTAGAACGCAACATTGCAACATTCCGTGCTCAACGAGGCTCATGTCGCACGTCCAAAGGCACCCGATTCCAACTAGCCGAACATGTTCTGGCACCACACGCCTTCGAAACATAGGGCTTGCCCAAGGCTGGCCGAGCATCACCACAAAGGCACCCACTCCACCCCACCTTGCATGTTTCATCATCGTACCAGCCATCAACCATCCTCAAGCCAGCCCAAGTTAGAAGGCAACATCGCAACATTCCATTCTCAACAAGACTCATGTTGCACGCCCAAAGGCGCAACCGACACTACCTCACCGTGCAAGTTTCGCCACCGCACCACCGCCATCAACTGCCCTCGTCCGCCAACCACCACCCCCACACCCCAAGCATATGCCCACATGGGTCACATAGTGCTTGGGGCGTGGGGGTGGCGGAAGATATAGGGGGTACCCCCGTGCCCAGCCCATGCAGACTAGTCACCCCCCTATATAGTACATTTTGAGGCATTTTTGGTCTGCCAGTCCTAGATACGATTTTTCTGAGTCGTCATATGGCCAAATATATCAAGTTTTAGAATATTTTTTTCCATGAAATTCATGAATTGGACATTCTAATGGATCTATAAATCAAGTTTCATAATTTTTCAACCAACTAGTTTTTTTAATGAATTTTTAAATATTAAATAATAAGAAATTAAAAAAAATAGCTAGAGTTGTCAAAAAAATCTGAAATTGTGTGGGAATCATGTTTTCATGTTTCTTAGCTCCGAGAAAAAAAATTACAACAAACTGATCACTCCACATGTACTTTCACAATTAATGGGAGATGGATGGGCGGGCACGGGCGCGCGCACAGTAGAATGCGGGCGGGGCCAGGACGTGGCGCGCTGGAGAACGCTGGCAGGGCGGGGCGGGGCAGGGGGGCATGCGCGCGCGGGAACACGCTGGCTGGGGGGCGCGCGCGTGGGAGCACGCTGGTGGGGTGGGGGTGCGCGCGGGAGCACGTTGGCGGGGAGGGGCGTGAGAGAGCGCACGAAGGGGCAAGCGAGCGGGGCGCACGCTGGCGGGGAGGGGAGTGAGAGAGCGCACGCAGGGGCAAGCGAGCGGGGTGCACGCGAGGGGAAGGGCGGGGCTGGCGAGCGCAAGGGAACGTTCTGACACTGCCCCACCGTGCGCATTCCGCCATCGCACCACCGCTGTCAACCGCCCTCGACCTCCGACCACCACCTCGACGACCCAAGCATATGCCCATGTGCGGCGCATAGTGCTTGGGGCGTGGGGGTGGCGGAAGATATAGGGGGTACCCCCGTGCCCAGCCCATGCAGACTAGTCACCCCCTATATAGTATATTTTGAGGCATTTTTGGTCTGCCACACCTAGATACGATTTTTCTGAGCCATCATACGGTCAAATAATTCAAGTTTTAGATTGTTTTTTTCCATGAACTCGATTGATTCATTAATGGGACATTCTAATGGATCTATAAATCAAGTTTCATAATTTTTCAACCAACCAATTTTTTTAATGAGTTTTTAAATATTAAGTAATAGGAAATTAGAAAAAATAGCTAGAGTTGTCAAAAAAATATGAAATTTTGTGGGAATCATTCTTTCATGTTGCTTAGCTCCCAAGAAAAAAATTACAACAAACCGACCACTCCACATGTACTTTCACAATTAACTATTTTTTCTTTTGCTTATCTTAATTTCCACGGATGTTCGGTGTGATGAATTGTTATAGGGGCTAACCTTCAAGGCTTTATACGTGCACTCACGCTTCATAGGCATTGGGTGTGATGTTTTTTTTATGGAGGTAAAATCCAACACTTTTGATATGCTGTTGGTAGGACATGTATCGCACATAGCATAGGATGGGGCTTGGCGTGTGCGAGTGGTGAGTGCACGAGGGCGTGTGGGGTGAGCGTGCGGGGGTGTGCGAGCTGAGTGTCACGGTCATGCTCGTTTAGGGCGTGTTGACCATGGCCGCATGCCTATGGCAAGCCAAACCCTTGTCATGTCTTTTCATTCTAGTGTTTTTACTTTTGTAGTTCTAGGACGTATGACGCCTAAAAAATATCATGTTTAGGCCTGCCAGACATGAAATGCCTCAGAATGTACTATACGGGGATATGACTAGTTGTCAACTTCTCCCTACCCAAGGTTATATATGCTAAACCATTGTTATCTCTCTCTTGCTTGCTTATATAACGTCTCTTTCAAAAATCTCTCTTTCTAAAATCTCTCTCTACCCTCGTTTTCTAAAACCTTCTTTCAAAACCGAGGCTAGAGGCTCGATCATACGTCGCTTGGCCGTAGGCGACACAAGAACAAATTGGCTTAGCTCACTTGTCGTTGGAAAGTGAGTGCCGCACAATCGCTAGTCCGCTGCCTTTAAAAGTGCGATTGTGTCAAGTGGTATCAGAGCTTTGTTAGCTCCGTGACACAGTAAAGACCGAAACCATGTCGGCAACAAAGTCGACACCGAAAGCACAAGCCGACCGGCTTACGCTAATAGAGGAGGAAATGTCGCACGGGTGACCAAATTGAGTGAGATAGTCGTAGAAATCGACGCAATGGGCAACCGCCTGGATGGGTTGCCAATCGCAGAATTGATGTTTCGAGTGAACTCGCTCGAAGAAAGAGTTGCTCCTACGAGCAGCCCAAAAACCGTTTGGTAGTCTGGATAACTCTGTCACGCACAAGGAGAGACGTGGCGAAGAGTTCGACGTGCTACAAAATACAATGATGAGCTTGTTCAATGGATTAGCTGATGAATTCAGAACAACAATCGGCGACATCCAAGAAAGGATGGCCTCCATGGGCACTCGAATTGAAGTGACCATGAAAGCCGTGGAGAACGTCACGGCTGGACAAACTAATACAGGGTCCAACAAACTAAGATTCCTAGATCCTAGAGCCTTTAAAGGGAATCGGGATGCCAAAGAGTTGGAAAACTTCATCTTTGATGTCGAACAGTACTTCAAAGCCACAACGGCTTGTACTGACGACAAGAAGGTGACTGTAGCCTCGATGTTCCTATAGTTTCTAAACAATATTACCCACAAGTGCTATGAAGGAATAGGGTTCGGAAAGTGCCTAGAAACCATTCCCCCAATCCAATCCGCCATTAAAGAGCTTCAAGGAAAACTCAAAATTCAAATAAGAGAATACACAAAATTCGTCGAGCAAGAATGATCTCAATAAGTTTTTGCACCTTCAAGGAATGTTTTCATTGAAGACCACGAAGAGAAATAACCTCGGAAAAGTTTCCAATTGAAGAAAATTCGTTTCATGTTCAAATTGTGGGTAAGTGTCGAATTCCTATCTATGACCTTTTTTCCTTCAAATTAAGGATTCCTTTAGCTTAAGAGGAAAAAGATGATTAACTTTGATGAAGGAATCAAGAGAGCTGAAACTTCTAAGAACAAGATACCTAAGAGATTGAAAATCGGAGGTGTCATGTAACTTGCAGACCGAGGGTGATTTCTCAAAATTAAGGTCCCACACTCAAAGATGTTCCTCAAAACCAATTTCTTAAGCTTAAGGAAAGAATAAGGAAGAAGTTCCATGAAGAAATCGAGCCTTGAAAACCCTTAGAATCGGCTACCCAATAAGAAATCCTTTGTTTTTACTCCAGCGAGAAATTATATTTTGGACGAACTTTGGAAGCGAATATCTTAGGCTACGATCCACGAAAAGGTATGAAATCAATCCATAGCTCTTCCTTGTAATACCCTCTTTAAGTTTCATGAAGAACTCGAGGGGAGAAACGGCGTGATCGGAGCTGGGGAGGGCGACTTTCAGACAGTGGCGCGAAAGATCACGCACGTCTTCTTCCCGTCTGGAGGAAGAAGACGATGACGTGGCCGGTTCAGTTGAACCGGCCATGTCAACCAAAAACTCGACCCCACGATTTTTCTAAAATTTAACCCCCTTCCAGAATGGTTCTCAGAAAAATCTTTATGGTTCCAGAAACTAGACACAATAAGGAGTCTGTGGAAGAAAATTTAAGGTAATTCAGGTATCGGAAGATCATGAACAGAGGTCTCGAACGTCGACAACGAGGTAAGTAGCCACCTTGCACTTTTTTGTTAAGACATACTTGTAGGAATCGCTTGGATTTCCATATGAACCCTAAAACAAATATGAATTTAGGATATATGAAAGAAAAGCTCAAAGAACCATGAGTTAACGCCCTAAATCGATCAAAATGCTCGGGAATTAGGCAACGTTAAAATAACCGACTAGATGAACTCTGCTCTAATAGCCAAAATATATATATATATATATATATATATAAATAATGAAATAAATAAAGAAATAAAGAAATAAAAATAATTATAAAAAAAAATGAAAATGGCCTTTATGGAGTTGAGATTCATGGGAGATTTAAGTGAAGATAGATTTGAACAATAAGGTATATATTAAATCTTCGTTTTCTTTTATCCTATTCTTTTTAGTTTTTTTTAAGAAATCATAGCCAATTATAGTTAGATTTTCATTAAATTATTATAATCGTTTAGTTTTGAGTTAGAAACTAAATGTTACTCATTTATACGAATTCTAGTAAATCACGTTATATTAGTAATATTAGATTAAATTTATATCCGTAGCAAATGAATAGATTAAAAATAAAATGACCAAGAAAATTTGTGAACAAAAGGAAACACCAAGATAAGGAAAGATTTGGAAATATGGATCCACTATAAATTTGGAATACATGAGAACAAAATTAGAAGGCAACAGAGTAAATACCCATTAAAAAAAAGGAAGATTCTGTAATTAAAACATAAACTAAATAAAAAAGCATAAACTAAATACAAAAAAAAGTAAATATAAGAGTAGACCCAAATAATAATTTTATAGAATTCAAACTTGAAATTGATGTCATGGGCTCAAATAGGTTTACGGATTTCAAAGGACATAATCGAACTTTCATTAAGGATATATTCGTGACAACAACTTAAGTTAACCAGGTAAGTGGCCTTACTATCGGCATGGTTATATTTGATGTTGACACGTGCCTGTGGTTCTGCACGTGTCATATATACTGATATGTGTGAATTATCTGTGAATCAATATGCTTATATTATGTTTATGTTATGCTATAATATGAGAATTGTATGATAATATTTATGGTGTGATGTGTTCAATGATATGTTTGATATATGATACGAGAAGGATGCACTAAATGTAATGTAACGATAGAAGTAAGATGTATTCACGAAACATTAAGGTTAGGTTACGCCTCGAAGTGCTATGGATATGAGAGATTGATAAAAGAATATGGTTAGGATATGGGTAGAAAGAACTCCCTAGGAATCTATGATCTTCTAGAACAACTTACGCTAAGATGGGTTCATATGATTACAAATGAAAGTTACAACTTATGCCCCAAGAAATTATGAACATTAGAAACTTACAAGATTGAGGATCAAGAACAACACCACACAAGCTTTACAACTACCCAAGTAAGAAGAATGCTAGGTACCACTCAAGGACGAGGGACCAAGGTCCCCAAACTAAAAAACACAAGAATGCTAGGTAATACTCTAACCATGCCCAAAGTGACCTATGACCTTGCATCAAGCGGTGCTTTCTAAGGCCCAAGAATTCCTCTTCTAGGTGGGATGACCTGCACCATGTTTCCTTTGCAGGATGTCATGTTTGGCCTCAAGTTTCCCTCACCTAGAAGAGAAGTTATGGGTACCAAAAAGATTTGCAGGATGACATATTTAAGTATGCACCGAGCTAGTGACCTTTATGGTCTACCATGAAGAGTAGTCTAGGGCCACGAAGGAACAAGAAGCGAGTAAGTTACCTTAGCCAAGAATCAAGAACCTCTTAAGACCTCCCACGGTTCAACATTCTCATGACTTAGACTATGCTAATCAACAACTGAATTTCACACCACCAATTAAACGGTAATCTTTAACCATCACAAAAACCATAATCAAACTGTATAAAACTTAAGCTTTCCAGTTCAAGATTTTATAAACCGGGTTATACTACATGCTAAACGTTGCGTTTATCATCTTAAATTTCTCGCATATGAAAAGAGGTATAACAATAGTACACCTAAATTCCTACCTTTTATACCAATTATGAAAGATAATTAATACTAAGTTGGTTATGCTCGTGCTTTAAATTTGTATTTAAGAAATAGGTTACTTTTAATAATAGTATAATTTAGACCAATGTTAACCGCATGACTAGACAAGAATAAAATAAAACAACTTCCT